TTTAATTGTTTGTTTTACACTCCACTATCCTCCAATAGAATGCGGGCTCCATGAATACAGAGATTTTTGACCATTTAGTCAGTGCTATATTTCCATTATCTGGAAAAGTACATGACATGCTAGGTCCTTAATAAGTATTTGCTAAATGAAGAAATGTGTTAAAGGCGAAATAAAGAGAACATTTACTATTTTTCATCTCTATGATATATATTTTAACATACATATATATTTGAAGCCAGTTTGTTTTAATTAATTAAATTTCACTTGATGATTGACTGCCTCTGCGGTAATTAAATGATAATATCGTGTCTAAAAAAGCTATTTTCCCAGTTATGAGTAACTTTTCCTTGATATATATATTCCTTTGAAACAGGGTCTCACTCTGTCACTCAGACTGGAGTGCAGTGGCATGATCATAGCTCACTGAAACTTCTGCCTCCTGGGCTCAAGTGAACCTCCAACCTCTGCCTTCCAAGGAGCTGGGACTATAGGCGCATGACATCACCCAAGGCTGTTTTTAAAATTTGTTTAGAGAAACAGAGTTTCACTATGTTGCCCAGCCCGGTCCCTAATTCCTGGGCTCAATTGATCTGCCCACTTTGGTCTCCCAAAGTGCTGGGATTACAGGCATGAGCCACCACACGAGGAGGAGATTTCTATTCCAACAAAGATAGTCAAAAGATACTCTGTTAAAGGTATACTACCCTCACTGTACTTGGAGTAACAACAAAATGGGCTGTTTACAACAGCTAAATGTAAATTATTAGTAAGTGGTGGATCTGTGTTGGAACAGATTAGTTACTAAAATTTACGGGAGATTATGCAATTGTCGGCAAAGACTGCACGCACCTTTGTCCTCTGCAATTTTGACACTGACATCATCTAAGATACAGTAGCTATATCTTTTAAGATAACACAATTGAATATCAAGATAAGTTACAAGGATAATTGATTTTTAGCTTAAATTACAAAAATGAAGTACTTTTAGTAAAGCATATGAGACATCAAAAGATAATATAACTCATGAAAATTGTCTTCTTTTATCAAAATGAAGATATCTTCATGATGAAAATGTTAGGTATTTTTACTTCTAAAATGTAAATAATAATTGCCTTACTTAAATTATGGGGTAAGCATAAGGACAAAAGTATCTGGTTCCTAAAAGCTTTATGGAAGTTGGGGTTCCTTCCTATTATTTTCCCTTATTAATGTTATTCTTACAGAAATATAATTATATAAAGAAATATCAATACAAACTGCCATTTAAAATGATTATAGAATATTCTATGAAAACAGCCCTACATTGAGTCTAAAGTGATTCAAAAATTAATAAAGTTCTGTGATTAAAAACAAATTAAGTCAGAATATTCAGCCCTTGTTTTTACTAAGTTATATGCTTGTCTTCTATATTCCTAAGCAGATAAATTAGATCTGAAAATTAAGTATGGTTTGGGTGTCCTCTAAAAGAAAAGGAGCAACCAGTGAAATTCTCAAAAATGGAAATTTTGAGATGGGGCTCTAATTAAATACAGTATTTAAAACTTTAAATATATCACTGAGCAGAAATAATCACATTTCAATTCAAGGGACTTTAAAAAGTAATCATCTTTGTGAAATTAGAACACGAGGTTTCTTATAACAGTACAGCTACACAACTGTCTTAAAATGAAAAAGGTTGTTTCCTTCAGTTAAGCCTTCAATTAAAGTGCACTTTCATATTCATTAAACTCAGAAGCCTAGAACAATCCTCTAAATCGGATATGTTCCCACACACCGCATGAAGAATGCCGGTAATTATTAAATTTTCCAGATCTTGTGGACATTTCTGATTTTATTCCTGTCATTTATTCATGCAGCTTATAACACTGGATATGAATTTTAAAGAAGTACAGGCCGGGAAAGGTTAGAGTCTTACTGATGAGATTTCAGCAAAGAGGAAGATGCCAATATTAAGATGAATGGGACTAAATAAATCATCCAAAGACAGAGCTTCTTTTTACTTTTAATTATGACATATCCCAAAGAATGCCTATAACTTCTGAAAACATATTATTTTATTGATTCTTGAAATAAGTTGTATTCTCTGAGACTATTAAAATTATCTGTAGCTATTTACAAATAGTTTATTTTACATTGGAAAGAAAAACATTGTTTATACAAATTTAAAACTGTACCATACTAAGATATATGTATACCTATGTAAACATTTTTTTTATTCTTAAAAAAATTTGTTCAAATTTGTGAGTCAGATTTCATATTTGTTCTAGCATACAATAGATGGATGCTTTAGTTATAAAGTGATTTCAACTAAGGAAAGGAAGAAAAAGAGTAACAGAATGCAGATTTTAATGCAAAGTAAGTATCTTACTGCCTCCTGTGTACAATTCTGGCTCACAACTAATCAAACAATAATCTATAAACTTGTCCAGACAATCTGTCTTGACTACCAATACCAGACATAGGACATTAAAGTAAAGACGGCTGGCGTGGGGGCTCACGTCTTTAATCCCAGCACTTTGGAAGGCCAAGGCGGGTGGATCATGAGGTCAGGAGTTTGAGATCAGCCTGGCCAACATGGTGAAACCCTGTCTCTACTAAATGCAAAAAACAAACAAAAAAATTAGCTGGGCATGGTGGCGCATGCCTGTAATCCTAGCTACTCAGGATAATTGCTTGAACCCGGGAGGCAGAGGTAGCAGTGAGCTTAGATCGCACCACTGCACTCCAGCCTGGGTGAGGGAGTCAGAAAGTAAAGAGAAAGCAGCTAGTGTTCTGGCCACACCACATTTATTTCCGGCACAGTGGTTTTTGCTTTAATCTCTTTTACACATCAATCTTCCATGTAAATACATATTGTAAACAAAATGTTGATAGATTAAAGCTATTAGAAAATCACTGACTTAAAATATCTTGTCGACATTTATAAATTATTAAATTTAGAAATAAAAAAGCCTCCCAGATATCAACAATACAAAACCCAATCATAAAAGATTTCTAATAAATGAGCAACATTCAAGTTGGCTTCAGTTTTCTTCAACACAGTAATGCAGGCTGAAAAGCAGTGCCATAATGTACACAGTACTGACAAAAAATATTTTGACTCAAAGCTTCTATACCCAGCGAGTTTTTCTTCCAATCGGAATTCAATAGAAAGATACAGAACGAGATTATTATTTTGTTGACATATCCAACAAACAACAGGTGATAGATCTGAAACTAAAGTGGAAGATGTATTATTCAAAAATTGAGAAACATAACCATATAGTTTAGCATTGTCTGAATAGTTATAATAATGACAAAAACAATTACAAATATCAAAAGTAGCTATAGAAAAAATAACACAATGGTCAAAGAAAAATTATTAATATATGAATCCAAATCCCAAATGATTCTAAAAAGGGCTTGGAATTAATAGTCTGAGTTGGAGTGTAAAAGGTTAAATTATGTTTAGCTCATGTAAGAAACTACATATATATACACACAAATATATATATACACACATACAACATTTTGTTTCCATTATACATAATTATAGGTTTAAAGTCATCAAAGAATTGATAGAATAAAAACAGTGGCACTTTTAAAACACTTAAAAGGAGAAATGAAATAAAATAATTTGATCAAAGACAAAATCTGTTACAAAAAGAATCATACATGCATTAAAAAATTGTTTATAAAAACCAATAATCTCAAAGTGAATTAAAAAAAAGTCATTCACAATGTGAGTCCTTTACTTAATCTTGTGAGTCTAAATAAACTTTAACTGTAAATAATAAGAACAACAAACACTTATAGAGCACTTACTATGAGCCTGGCACTATTATGAGAACTTAAATACATTAAACTTGCTTTATCCTCAAAGGACATTTCAGGATACTAATCTTATCTCCATTTTACAGATGAGAGAATGCCTACTCAGAAAGTTGCAGGATTTGCCCGAGGAAATAATACTGCTAAAATTTACATTTGACCACAGGTAGTCTGGTTCCAGAACCCAGGCCATCTGGATAATCTGGATTCCAAATACACTCTACCACCTCCCAAGAGGAATATAAGAAACATGTTCTTTACAATCTCAAGCAGTTCTTTTCCCTTATCCTTTACTATATGAGAAGGCAGGGAACAAGGTGCAGGATGGGGTGGAGGGATGGGTTAAAGAATAAATAATATGGAAGACCAGGGAAATGACTGAACAAATACCCTGGTTCTGGTCACAGTTCATTCTCAGACACAACAGAGTGGTCCTTTGGAAAATTCCTAGTTAGAATTCTCAGGCTTTGCTCTGATTAATGCAAAGCGTGTCTCTAAAAAACAACACCTGCACAAGCTTTCTCCACTATTTTCCTAAACACTTTTTTTCCCCCATGCCTTTCTCACAGGGAAGCCTTCCCAACCAAGATTTCCAGTCACTACTTTCCTAGTTTTTAAGGTCTCTTCCTTTTACCCAAGCACTTCTTTTGGCTGGAAGCCCACAATACATTGAGAGGAAGGTACTTTTTACCTATATCCTAGGGTAAGGCAGAGAAACATACACAGAAGGGGAGGGAAAAAGAGAGAGAGACTGACAGACATGAGAAGAAGTCATAAGAACTGGAAAGAATCTAAAACATACAATTTTCTCCCTTTACCCATTTATGCAAGAATATTTTTGCATGTCCGTGTAATATAGCTGCACAGTTTTGACTTTTGACAAATATATCTATATACTTTGTAAGTTATGGATGGCAACTGGGAAAGCAGAATTAATTACTAAACATTAAGTTAGAAGGACCACTCCACGGATGCAGGCTGTCCTATGAATATTCGTTTAGTGAGGCTATATTGACATAAACTGTTCATGAAAATCAGATTGATTCTTTCACATAAATCAGAGTTTACCACAGACTTTTATATGACAAACAAAACAATGTCACATTTGCTCTTTTTTCCCCTCAAACATGGGAAACATAAGACAGGCAACAGCATGGTATTCCAACAGATGTTAACATTCTTTTACTTACAGCCCTCATAGATGTCAGTAGGAATATGGACTGCTGCATGCTGATAAGATATTTGTCGTCCAAAATTAGCATCTTCAATGAAAACGGGTTTTATCCTCTGGCTGCCTGGCTCACTGTCATTTTTCTCAGGCTATATACAAAAGAGAGAACAAACAGAATATTATAATTTTTGCTAACATAAATATTTCCACATGCACTTCTTTATTTGCCCAATGCATTTTTTTCAAAAAATATATCTACAAGAATTGTTTAAAATATAGTACCTTAATAGCATTGGATACACAAATTTCCATTCCGGTATTAGCAATCACAGTATATCTTTATTGTATTATTCACATTATAACTAACTGCTCTCCTGATTTCCTCAATGTTGGAGTCATTCAGGATCATCTTTGGGGGACGAGGGAGATCTGACTTCCACACATATAATACTTATCAAGATGTAAACTTAAAGAATTGGATAGGCCAGGCCCAGTGGCTCATGTCAGTAATCTCAGCACTTTGGGAGGAAGAGGTAGGCAGATGGCTTGAGCCCAGGAGTTTTAGACCAGCCCAGGCAACATGGCAAACCCTTGTTTCTATGAAAAATATCAGAAAATTAGCTGGACAAGGCAGCACAGACCTGTAGACATACGAGGCTTTAGGTGGAAAGACCGCTTGTGTCTGGGAGGTTAAGGCTGCAGTGAGCCATGATCACATCACCACACTGTAGCCTGGGCAACAAAGTGAGACGCTGTCTCAAATAAATAAACAAGCAGACAAATAAATAAATAAAATAATAAGAAACTGGATAGGTGCCTTTTAAATACAACCTAACTAATATTATCGACTTGAAACAAATTTCACAATTTATGTAACTAAATTTATATTGGGTAGTTGAAGATGATTCTTTGACAAATAACGGTACGCATGACAGAAATAATATGGCAATGAAGGATTATTTTAAATCTCATCCTCTTGCTTTTTGCATGTTTTTCAGGTATACCAATTTTTGTCTTAAAAAAGAAAGTATACTAGGAAAGGAGTGATCTATTTAAACTATAAACAAAATTAAATCCTAATTCAACCAATTTGTCTCTTGAGGTAGGAATGAAGATCCAATCAATAATGATTCAAGAAAACCCCTCGGGAGTCTATAGTCAAAGATTAATTTTCTATCTATTGGAACTATACATTTGATACTGAATTACCTTGTTGCTTTCCCTGGTAACAAACTAAGAATTTCATTCATTTATCCGAAATGCATCTATAACATTTTTTGACATTTGTGTTAAACTTTTTTTGTTCAAAATATATTTTAACTCTACCCTAACTGTTTTTTTTTAAATGATATGAAGTTTAAAAATTACGAGTTAAGCAAAAGTGAAAAGAGAAAAAAACCTATTTGTTTTGGGTGGAAACAGGTAGAAGGAGAAATGAATGCATGTATACGTAGCAAGTGTTACCAGTATTATTCCTGGCTTTTCAATTTTAAGAAATAATTTGTGCTTTCTGGTTTTTACAATAATACAATGAGAATGTATTATATTTGTGATCAGAATAAAACTATTAAGGTTTAAGTCTTTTCTATTAATCTTATAAAGCATTACATGCTTGTCTTACATAAAAATTACTTCTGTTTCCTCTGAATCCTCTCACACTTAAAAATTAGCAGTTTTATATACATCTTATGCAGGCTCTTCCTCTTTTAAATAACCATATAAATGACTTTTAGAAATAACTTTAAAATAATAATGTACTTCTCAACTTCTAAAATCATGTATCAAGAATCCTTAAGGTACAATTGCTAAACATAATTTAAGAACAAATAATAGTGCTATTTCCATGGTTCTCCTTTTGTAGTTTATATTAAAATAATTTCATAAAAATATGAGAATTTCTAAATTGAACTCATTTGTTATCTTTAAGCTACTGGAAACTACTGTTCCTCGTACCACCATACTCCATGTCTTTACTTATCTTTATATATTACGGCAGTATATATTTAATTGAAATACAGTAAATATTACACACAAAGGAGTTTTATGAAAAAACCTACTTAACACAGAATGTCTCATGTAGTAATTAACTACCTCAAATAAATTCTCCCTCTGAAACAAAGAATTCCATTTCTTCAGATCACATACAAGAAAGAACATCTATGTCTCCATCCAACTGTTTTTTTTCAAAATATATCTTCTGAAGTCTACAGACTACCATATACAAATGTGTACAGAGAAAATGAGCAAGTGGATTCTAAAATATATTCAAATGCATTTGGTAAAACATAACTGACACATGAAATGCATAATTCTCAGACTATTCTTCTCAATATAATTTCAGCTATTAAATAACAGATTCGATTACTCAGAGACAGAGATACAAGCTAATGTTGGATGAGGAGGTCATTCAATTTTACAACCAGTGCATATTAGCAAATTTAATTTGGAAAGTCACAATGATAATTATTTGACAGGTACAAAAAGCTCTTGCAAATTTAACATATTTATCTCATCCTTAGAATTGATATTTATAAAAAGGATTGATTTTTAATATTTTGTTCTCTTTTTCATGTTATTAACTTAAAAAATATTCCTACTTATAGCAAAATATTCAAAAATTAAAGTCTATATATTTTTACCTAAATTGCAATGGAAACTTACTTAACTATTTTGCACAATTCAGATTTGCAAACTGATAAACTTTACTTGCAATCATACTATGGCTATAATTATGTCCCAGTTCTGTATTATTTTTGTGTGCCACAAAGTTGTAAAAGAATTAGTTGATATAGAATAAAGTGGCTCACTAAAACTCTCTATGAAAATATCACACTTTGTATTTCTATCTCACAAGTAAAGGAGTTAGATCAACAGTCTTGGCTAGGCCCAGTGGCTCATGCCTGTAATCCCAGCACTTTGGGAGACCTAGGCTGGACAACTGCTTGACGCCAGGAGATTAAGAACATCCTGGACAACATAGTGAGGCCCTCATCTCTACGAAAAATTTAAAAATAAGCCTGGCATGGTGGCATGCTCCTGTATTTCCAGCTATGCAGAAGGCTGAGGCAGGAAGGCCTTGAGCCCATGAGTTTCAGGCTGCAATGAGCTATGATCACACTACTCCACTCTAGCCCGGATGACAGAATGAGACTGTGCGCGCACATGCTTCTGTCTGTGTGTAGGTTCCTGTGTGAAGAAACAAGACTTGCATGCGATTCTCCAATACGTATGTATGTATATATGCATGTATATTTTCAAATTTCAATCTCTAAATACATCCTGGTTTTTTGTAGTTTTTTACAGTTGTTATTTACATTAGGGCCTGCAACTTTTATAACATAGATATTACTGATTTCAGAATTTTTTTAAGTCTCACATATTATTCTCAGTATCAATTTTGGATATGTAATATGACTTAAGGCATGGCATTATAGTCCAATATAAAGCATTATCAAAGAGAGGATGCGTTATATTTTTTTTTATTATACTTTTAAGTTCTAGGGTATATGCGCACAACGTGCAGGTTTGCTACGTATGTATACATGTGCCATGTTGGTGTGCTGCACCTACTAATTCGTCATTTATATTAGGTATATCTCCTAATGCTATCCCTCTCCCCTCCTCCCTCCTTACAATAGGCCCCGGTGTGTGATGTTCCCCTTCCTTTGTCCAAGTGATCTCATTGTTCAATTCCCACCTATGAGTGAGAACATGTGGTGTTTGGTTTTCTGTTCTTGCAATAGTTTGCTGAGAATGATGGCTTTGTTATTGGTGTATAAGAATGCTTGTATCTTGCACATTGATTGTATCTGACGCTTTGCTAAGTTGCTATCAGCAAGTGAATTTTGAGCTGAGACCCATAGGGGTTTTTCTAAATATATAAATCATGTCATCTGCAAACAGGGACAATTGACTTTCTTCCTAACTGAATACCCTGATTTCTTTCTCTTGCCTGATTGCCTAGCCAGAACTTCCAACACTATGTTCAATAGGAGTCGGTGAGAGAGGCATCCCTGTCTTGCGCCAGTTTTCAAAGGAATGCTTTATCTATTTTACCCCATTTAATCAGTGATGATATTGGCGTGGGCTTCATAAATATCTATATTGAGAAGTTATGACCTAAATTAGTGAGAGTTTTAGCATGAAGATGGCTGTTGAATTTTCTCCAAGGCCTTTTCTGCATCTACTGAGATAATCCTTGGTTTTGTCCTTTGTTCTGTTTATATGCGATTACATTTATTGATGCATACTGTTGAAACCAGCCTTGCATCCCAGGGATGAAGCCCACCTTGATCATGGGGATAAGCTTTTGATGTGCTGCTGGAATTCGTTGCCAGTAATTTATTGAGAGTTAAGACTCCCATACAATAAAAAATGGGTAGACTTTAAACACCCCACTGTCAACATTAGACAGATCAAGAGACAGAAAGTTTAACAAGGATATCCACGCAATGGAACTCAAATCCTGCACCAAAAGCGGACCTATAGACATCTACAGAAACTCCTCCACGCCAAATCAACTGAATATGAATTCTTCTCAGCACCACATTTACACTATTCCAAAATTGACCACACAGCTGGAAGTTAAAGCACTCCTCAGCAAATGTAACAAGAACAGAAAATTATACAAACTGGTCTCTTCAGACCACAGTGCAATTCCCAAACTAGAACATCAGGAATAAGAAAACCCCTCCCGCTCAATCAAAACCCACTCAACTAACAGGAAACTGAACAACCTGCCCCTGAATGATACTGGACATCAACGAACATGAAGGCAGTAAATCAGAAAATCCTTCTTTGAAACCAATGAGAACAAAGATACCAACATACCAGCAATCTCTGGACACATTTAAAAGCTTTGGTAGAGGGATAAATTTAAAGCACTAAATGCCCACGAGGAGAAGCAGGAAAGATCTAATATTGACACCCTAGAATCACAAATAAAAAGACACGAAAGTACAAGACACACACATTCAAAAGCTAGCAGAAGGCAAGGAAATAACTAAGATCAGAGCAGAACTGAAGGAGACATAAGAGACAGAAAGAAAACCCTCCAAAAAATCAATGAATCCAGGGCTGGTTTTTGGAAAGATCCAACAAAATTGATAGACCCGCTAGCAAAGACTAATAAAGAAGAAAAGAAAAGAGA